GCCCAGTCAGCCCGCGTCGCCTGCCGGCTGCGGCGCGGCGGGGCGGGCGGCGGGCGCAGGCGGGTCGTACCTGGATGCAGTTGATGACGAAGGCGTGGCCCCGGAACACCCGCTGCAGCGCCCCGGACTGGGCGTCGAAGGCCCGGGCGCAGGCGTCCCCGCTGCCGGTGAACACTGCGAACACAGCCGCACGCTGGCCTCGCGGCCCGCGCCCTGCCCCAGAGCCCGGGGACAGCCTGCCTCTCAGGGATGTCCTCGGGCTCGAGTGGGAAACATGCAGAACCCCCTGCAGGGAACCAGGGCTCCCCTTCGTCATCTGGCTGCGTCCCTGTGGCTCCAGGCGGAAGGCCGAGGCCCGCAGAGGCCTCCTCGGGGCCTGCCGCTGCCACATGCCACGCCATGAGCCGCTTCAGCTCAGCCTCTACTGTCCTGCAGGTGGCCCTGTCCCTCCCTGAGCACCACCCAGGTACCCACTCGCCTGCCCTGTTTGGCGAAGCCTCTGGTGAAACTGGCTTTTCTGCCTGGTGTTTGCAGAGGCTCAAAAGCTCCTGCCTTGGGGATAATCATGTTCTGGAGGCTCTTAACCCCAACCCCACCTGAGCAGCCTGTTCCCTTTAAGGACCAACCAGACACTCACAGTCCCGCTCCTCGGAAATGGATGTGGCCCTCGACACAGAACCCAGACCCTCCCGGGTTCCCCAGCGCTCCTGCGGACACCTAGCACAGGAGGCCTCCACCCTCTGTCTCCAAGCTCCTACCTCTCTTGGGGCTTTTCCTACATTATAACTTAGTCTAACAGTTTTCCAACTTCAATATGCATCAGTCACTTGGAGGGCTTGTTGACACACAGATGGCAGGGCCCTACTCCAGAGTCCCTGATTTAGCAGGTGTGGAGGTCTGGTCACACTGAGAATGCGGACTGGAGGGACTCACTGGTTCACTCACTGTCTTGGGCCGGGCTCTCCCACAAGCTCACCCTGACACTAGGATTTGACACAGGCATTCCAGGAAGCTTCCATAGAAGAATGGGGGGAGAAACGGGCTCTGTCATGAGCAGATAACTATTGTGGCATCTGGGGTGCTATCGTGCTGGGGACCCTGGGGAAGTGAGACCCATCTGGGGGACAAGGACTCTGGGCTACCTATCCATCAACTCCCAGCAGTCACTAGTGGAGGGAGTTCTTGTGGGTGTCAACACCCCAGCACCTCTGGCGGGCGCCACTTGCCTCAGAGGAGGCTCACTGGCACTCGGGGCAGGAAACCTCCATGAGTGAGGCTCCTGTGCACCTGCCACGCTCACCCAGCAGCCTAAGCCAAGGCCAGCATGTCCCTGGGTTGCTCCCTAGCCTTGGTCCTTACCCCACTTCCTGCCTTCACCTGCCTATTCGCAGCCTTTTTGTTAAGGCTACAGAGTGAATGTGGCCCTTGGGGAAAAGTTTCATTTCTGGGTCTCTTCAGCTCCTTTCCTGCCACCCCACCCCTGCCATTAACTCAGAAATGTATGTGGCTCCAGAAAACTGTGTGGCTGCTGGGCATCCTGTGGATGAAGAGGTTCAGGAACAAAGTCTGAGAACGAAGCTCCATAAGAATGGGCAGCAGGTAGGGCCCACGGGATGCACTCAGCTGCGTGTTCCATGCCAGCTGCTGCCAGGGGGAGGTGCTCTAGGCCACTGCCGGCAGCAGCCTCTGAGAGTGGAACATTCTTTTTCAATCAGAGGTCCCAGACTTGGCAGCAGAGCCATAATCACACTTACAGGCTTGGACACAGGAGGAAGGAAAAAATTTTTCCATGTCAGACACCCAAATCCCGAGGGCACGTCAGGCTCTATTTTCAGAAATCCACCTTCCATCTTCATCTGACCCCTTTGCTGTGAAGTCAACTTGAATTTCCCACTGTGACTCCTCCCCCACCCCATCTCCTCCCTCCAGTGCTAGGAAGACACTCCCAGGCCTGGCACACGTGGGGCTGGTTTCTGCTGAGTAGAGGGGGCAGGGGAGGGCTGATGGCAAAACGTGAAGTTGGGGAACGTTCTGGGAAAGAGACTCAGGAACGTGGGCGGTTGGGGGCTGCTTCCCCACAGAGTGTCTGTGCTCTGGGTGTGCCTGGGGACAGAGACAGCAAGGCCCAGACGTGTGACCATTTGAGACCCTGGGACAGACAGCTCATTGCCTACCCAAGACATTCTGCTCTTCTTTCTTTCCGAAATAACCCTGATTCATCTTGGCAACGCTGTCCTTAGATAAGACTTTATGTTTCCATCTCTCTTGCACACACAGTGGTCAGACAGGGATGCAGAAGCCTTCAGGTGGGGCTTCCAGGAAAGAACTTAAAGGGGCCACTCAGCTAGAAGATGCACCCTTTCACCCTTCCCTCCTCTTCCTCCTGCCTGCCTAAAACATGACATGATGGCTGGAGCTGCAGCAGCTACCTTGAACCACAAGGCCCCCTTAAGATAGAAGATATGGGCTAAGGATAATGAAGCAAAGTGACAGAAGGGATCTGGGTGATAACTCTGAGGAACCACCCATTCCAGCCTAGTCTGCCAGCCTCTGGAATTATTCTACCTGAAAACAAAAAGAAAATCACTACCAAAGAAATATCACAATTTGTAAGAATGAATAGACTGATAATTAATTTAAAATTTAAATAAATAAATAAATCACGACCTCATGTAAACCTGTTTTCTGGATTTTCTCTTATCTAGTCAAACGTAAGGCCAAGTGAGGCTAAGCCCATGTGCCCCTTGAGTCTGGTTGGATCCAAGTGTCACTGTCTCACTTGGAGAATTAGAATGCATCCTTGAGACATGCTTTTGACCCTAGGACCTCCAAATGTTTAAATCTCCCCACATTCTTATATGGTGAAGGTGGGGAGGAGCCCCCAAACCCTTACTTGGAACTTCTTTGCAAAAAAGTTGGAGGAGCAGGTGCGTGGAGAAGGAAGGGCTGCTGCCTTTGGGCACTGGCGATCCTGAATGGCAGCTGAGGTTCCACGAGGGCAGACCACGCAGGAAGGAAAGCAGCAGAGAGGAAGAGCCGGGGAGGAAAGGGAGGAAGGATTGGCGGGGGGCCAGGCCGCAGGGCGGGCTGGGGCAGCACAGGCAGTCACTTACAGGTGCCCGCGTGGTACTTGAGGGCGCTCACGCCATGTCCGTGGGCCGCGAACGTGCGCACCCTCTCCCCGGTGTCGGCCAGCCAGCACTTGACGGTCCTGTCGGCGCTGCCCGAGTACAGGAGCCGGTTCACCAGCTGGGAGGAGGAGCAGGGAGGGTCAGCCATGCCAGCCCCAGGCCCCGCCGGCTGCAGCAGGGTGGCTCGGAAGACCCAGATCCCTCTCTCTAGAGCAGGGGAGGGGTATGTGCAGAGCTCGGTGTTGAAACTGTGGATGAGCCCAGAATGACCCTGCACCGAGAGCAGGTGCCCCTCCTTTCTCCACGGGCGGCATGGGCTCAAGAGACCAGCAGACTGTGTGACACTTTGCCCAGGGCCACATCCCCGCCTCTTTGCCCTGTGGACAAGGATGCAGAAGGCCCCTTCCTCAAGGGGCGCTAGGAGATGCGCCAGCACAGCACCAATTGTTTACCCCTAGTGCCCCAGCCAAGAAAAGGGCTCCTAGGAAAGGGCCTGCACGCAGAACTCTGCTAGCAGAAGGGCAGATAAAAGAGAAAGGTCTAGAAGAACCTGACTGGGATGAGAGTGTGAGACAGACCTGCCAGGACTGGAGCTGGACAACCAGGAGCTGTCGTGGGGACGCAATTCCCCCTGCCTGTGGGGCTCCCCTGGGCTGGCACCTGGCAGGGAGGAAAGAAGGCCCCAGAGACAGGCCCGCCCCAGCCAGCTGAAGCTGCTCTGTCTGCAGGAAAAGGGTCAGGAGATGACAGAAGGGCCCTTGCCAAGAAGGACAGGAGGACCAGCCCCAGGCAGGGGCTGCTCGGCCCGTCCACTTCCTGAGGAAGACCACCTCCTCCAGCCTGTGACCTGGCCTCTGTGGCTACACCCCCAGGTTTCCACTTCACATACCTGCTCCAAGCACACCTGTGTCCCAACTGTCCCCTGAGGACCCTGGGCATATGCCTTCCTCCCCAGGTTTCTTACAAGTCCTCCCTGCGGAGAAAGCTCCCACACCCTGATCCTCGCTCATCATGGAAGACTCCCAGGCCGCCCCCCATCCCCCCACCCCAAGACACCTCCTCAGGCTGCCCCCACCACACTGTGTCGGCATCCTGGATGCCAAACTGACCGCTGGTGGCCCCAGCATTTCCCTGCTATTCCCCCACCACACCGTCAGCTCCCAGAGTCAGCCCCAGGCCTCTGGTGCCCATGTCTACAAGCTAGCAGCTGAGACTCACGGACTTCTAATAAGGGGAGTGGGTCTGGGCAGGACGTTTGTGATTGAGACCACTGTAGAAAGGCAGCAATGCAGGACCCCCTCCCCCGCACCAAGGAGGCTTGCTGAGTGTCCACAGCTGGTGAGGACCAAGGGAAGCCCCTCCTGCTCCTCAGAGAGCCTGTCCTGGCAATGCAGGGCCAGTCACCACTGTGGTTAAAACTGATGAGGCAGCACACTTTCAAAGTGCAGATCCTGAGCCACCAGCGGAGGAAGCGTCCTGAGCGCTGCTCTCCTTGGCTGGCTGAGGCCTCACTGTTCACTTTGGCTGGTGTCCTGGGAGGACGCCCATAGGGAGCAGCAGGGCAGCCTAGGGAGGCCAGGGGAGGTCCAAGGCAGATGGAGAAAACAGGATAGACCCTGCAGGGACAGGCCAAAGGGCCTTAGTACAAGGGCCAGGCTCTGCAGGGCTCCCCACAGCCAAGGCAGCTCTGCCATGTGACCCATCAGAGCAGACAGCGGGGTGAGGCACCAGGCCAGGGGCTCTGCTGTGAGGTCCCTGGGTGCAAGTCTCCAGCTCCCCTTGGCTCCATGGCAACCCAGCACAGGCGGGCAGGGAAGCAGCTGTCCAGGCCGTGAGCAGGGCTGCCGCAGAGAGCACAACCAGGCTCCAGACCAGCGGCAGGAAGGAGGTCCTGCCCCTGAGCAAATGGCAGAAGCGGCTCCCCCACTCCAGTCTGGTGCAGGGACACGTCACACCTTCTTGAGTCTGCTCTGTCAGCCAGCTCTTCGCACAACATGGTGGTCACAAGCACAGGTTTCAGAGATGTACAATCCTGGCCTCAAATCCTGCCTCTCCCCTGACAGCTGTGACACCTGGGCAAGCTACTGATCCTTGCTCAGCCTCTGCTTTCTCATGTGCAAAACGAGAAAAAAGCATCTCTCTCGGCAGGAGGCATGAGGACAAACATGCTCTGCGCTCTGCACACCGAGCCCAGGGCTGTCTGAACATGGCGCTGGGACCCGTCCCTCAAACTTCCCAGGGTCTGGCAAGGCTCACAGGAGGATGGCACAACAGTGACTTTGCCGGCAAAGATTGCTGAGCAACCTCGATGCCACCCTTGGGCTGCCCACCCCCATGGCGCCTTCCTTTCTCCCTGGCTGTATGTGAAGCATTTCACTGCTTTAAAGGCACAATGGTAATATCTAATGTCACAAGTAGGTACATAGGTGTCTATTTCACCATTTGCTATACTTCACATTTGAAATGTTTCCTAACTAAAATTTTAAAAACATACACATGAAATTAAGGAGTGACAGGAAGAGACTCCACCTTTTTTTCCTTCACAAGGACCCCTGGGTTAAGCCCAGACCCAGGGAGGGTGCAGCTCCCTCGGTGGTCGGTGGGCCACGACAGGCTAGGAGCCCTGTTTCTTACTGGCCTTAGGGTTGTAGCTCGGATGCGAGCCCTTTCCTCTCCTCTGGCCCAACCCTCTCTGGCAGAGGCCTGTGAACTCCTGGCTCTGCCAGACCTGGTTCTGAGACCTCTGAGGTTGGCTTGCTTGACCCTGGATGCACATCCCGTAATGACCAGGGGAGGCAGAGGCCCATCAGGGCATGGCCGCGTTTTGGGGGACTCACCTCTGTTCCTAAAGGGTTCAGAGTGGGCCACAGGTTGTGAGAAAGCAGGGATGGTCAACAGGTGGGAGGCAGGATGTATGAGACTGTGTGCTGTGGTCTGAACGCTGCTGTCCCCAAAATTCATACATTGGAGTTTAACTCCCAATATAATAGTATTAAGGAGTGTTATTTCATTTTTTTTTTAAAGAGAGGACTGGTAAGGGGATCTTAACCCTTGAATTGGTGTTGTCAGCACCACGCTCTCCCTAGTGAGCAATCGGCCATCCCTATATAGGGATCCAAACCCGTGGCCTTGGTGTTATCAGCACCGCACTCTCCCAAGTGAGCCACACACCGGCCCAGGAAGTGTTATTGCATTTTAAGGGTAAGTATTTGCTTCTGTCTTTAGACCAGACATGGGGCATGAGGGCTCCATGCTCACGAATAGGATTAGTGCCCTTATAAAAGGGCTGGGGGGAGTCTGTTCGTCCCTTCTGTCCTTTCCACCATGTTAGGACGCAGCAAGAAGGTGCCATCTACAAAGCAGAGCGCCCTCACTGAGTCTGCCGGCACCTGCATCTTGGACTTCAGCCTCCAGAACTGTGAGCAACACATTTCTGTTATTTATAAATTACCCAGTCTAAGGGATTTTGTTATAGCAGCAGGAATGGACTACAACACTGCGTATCTCTGTACAGTTTGCTCTTTCCTTCCCTTGCCTCTGGAAAGGAGCCCTCAAGTTTATCTCCACAAACAAAAGGGCCTGATCTGTTTGACGTGAACAGTGTAGATGCCACAGCTCCATCAGATGCGGGATTCCTGCGGACACCCACACTTGGCCCCCAGGAAACCGCAGCCTTGTTTTACCGCAGCTCTCGATCTGCAAGCACATGTATGTTGAAGCCCTAACCCTATGAATGTGACTTTATTTTGAGATAGGTCTTTATTTTTATTTTTTTGCTGGCTGGCCAGTATGAGGATCTGAAAACTAGACCTTAGTATCATCAGCACCAAGCTCTAACCAACTGAGCTAACAGGCCAGGCCAAGATAGGGACCTTAAAGAGGTAATTATTCTAAAATGAGGTCTTACGGATGGGTCCTAATGCAACAAGACTGGTGTCCTTATAAGAGGCGATTAGGACACAACCCACAGAGGGGAAGCATGTGAGGACACAGGGGAAGGCAGCCGCCTGCATGCCAAGGAGAGAGGCCTTGCCAAAAACCAACCCTGCCACACCTTCATCTCAGACTGTGGCCTCCAGAACTGCGAGACCATCAGTTTCTGCAGCTTAAACTGCCTGGTCTCAGGGGTGCTATGATGCAGCCTGAGCTCACTAACCCACTGGGGCAGGGCCGCAGCTCACAAGAGGACCTGGGGCTTTCCTGGCAGCCGGGCATGGACAGCCGTTGGCTGGGCGGGTCTCACCTCTAGACAGATGACAGAGCCCTGGTGCTCCCGGAACACTCGCAGCTGCTCCCCGCTCAGGATGTCCCAGGCACGGATGGTGGTGTCTGTGCTGCCTGTGAAGGCCGTGTGGCTGGGTGTGTCCAGCACCAGGCATAGCACTGCGCCTGTGTGGCCCCTTAGCGTCTGGTGGCAGCATCCACTGGCCACTTGCCATACTTTGGCTGTGCCGTCTGTGCTGCCGGTCACCAGGAGCCCCCCAGCCCCAGCCTCCGCATAGGGAGTGCTAGGGAGGTCCCAGGGGGCGGAGTAGGCTAGAGTCAGAACACAGTTGCGGTGGCCCCGGAACTCCCGGGACATCTGCCCCTTGTCCACACTCCAGACACGAGCTGTCCGGTCATAGGAGCTGCTGAAGAGTTGGTTGTTGGCAACCAGGATCCTGGTGGCAAGAGGGGAGGGCAGGGGACAGAAGGCACAGGGTGGCTGGAGTCCACCAGCATCCACACAGCCTACCCCCTGATCAGCCAGACTGGGCACTGCAGCCCCAGTGGCCGTTCCCTTAATCTGCCGGCTGCCACCCTTGCCGTCCATGTGCAGCTCAAAGCGCCCCCGCCTCCAGGAAGCCACCCTGACTCCGCCACAGTCACCCCTCCACGACTGAATCCTTCCAGGCGCTGAGCTGCCTTCTGGCCTGGTTGTGCCCGCAGCAGGGCCCAAGGATCGGATGTTCCATCCCTCCCAACACTCCGCCCATCGCAGCCGCTCCATGCACAGCTACAAAAGGGGGAGGGAAGAGGGGAGACAAGGCAGGAGGGGGCAGGAGGGGACAGGTGGGGTGGCCGGCCCTCCCAGTTTGCCTAGAGCTGAAAGGTTTCTGCGGATGCAGGACTTTCATTTTATAACTGGGAAAGTCCAGGGCTAAGTGGGACGAGCTGGTTCCTCCTGGGAACAGCTCAGACCCAGTGCCTGGGCGGGGGTGCTTCAGAGTGAGGGCCCTGGAAAAGCCGAGAGCCACCAGGAATTGCAGAAGCCCTTGCTGCCACTATGGTTCCTAGTACTGCGCCCCCGGGGGGCTTCTGGGAGGCACAGTCAGATAAAGATGCAGCAGGCGGGATGGACATCTGTGAACTCCATATGGCTGATGCCTGCTAGTGACACCCCAGCTCCAGGTCACAGCCCTTATGGGATTCCAGGCACACAAGTTGGCCGAAGGGCCCCCGGGAGTCTTGGGTGGGGGGAGCCAAGGGTCTGTTCATTCAGTGGAAGTGGCCAACCACGGGGACCAGAGCAGTGAATATGGTGACTGATTCTCATCTTGATGAAAGCTAAGAACTTCTCCCCAGAAAAATGCACATTTGTCTTCAGTACAGAAGTCTGTGTAACTTCAAAGGCCACTTCCACAGCCCTGCTAAGGAGCACGTGCGTGTCTGCTCGTGCACGGGCACATTGTGTGCATGCGGCAGACTAAAGTGGCAGACCTCGGTCTCTCCTTTAATCATCCAGTTTTACTTTTGAGAAGAAGCTGAGGACAGGCTGGTCACCCAGGGCAGGGCTTCTGCCACCTGCGTCTATCCTGCCTCTTGCTGATTCATGAAAGGAGACGCCTATGCCCACACTTTCCTTCAAAGACAGACTTCCTCCTTGGGAAGAGGCTGGCAGGAGCCGTGAGCCCAAGTCCTCATTCAGGCCACTTGTCCACCACCTAGTTTGCCTGCCCCCGGCGGGTGCCAGCCTCTCCTGCCTCAGCTGAGGAGGGGACAACAGCACGGCTGCTGGAAGGTCGAGCCGGCCCAGATGCCCCCCCCCCCCCCAAATGCCTCCAGACTCACTTCTCCACGCAGCGAAGCCCGCTGGCTCTTCCCTTTGGGATGTCACCTCTGCCCTGCCCTGTCTGAGGGTTCAGACTGAAGGCTATGACACCCCCGCCAGCTGGAAGGACAGGCCAGTCCAGCCGATCCTCCCATCACACCCTGGGCCAGGACGCAGGCCATTCTGTCCTGAGCCAGCAAGCTCAAAGCTCCTACCCGCCAGGGGCCCTTTCCTTCCCTAGACAGACCCCCAGCAGTGCCCTTCCTGTCCCTGGGTTGTGGGGCCCAGCCACTGCCAAGACTCCCTGCACTGCGTTCCCTCAGGAGTCGGATGCAACAGTCATGAGTTCCATCAATAGTGTCAAATTGATTTGATCAGCACAGGAATTTCCACTGCTCAGCTTGGACCCAAATTCAATAAGGAAAGGAAAAATTCAAACCTTCCTGAGAAGGAGGGAGTGGGATATTTTCAACAGCCACATAGAAAGGAGAGATTTCAAAATATCCTCGACTCCGTATTGTGCACGCTCTCCGTTCTCCCCTCCTCCAAGCCCTTGGCCTGCCATCAGGTATCAATTAAACAATTTCCTCCGGAATTGGTCCCCATCAGTAGGGGCTGTAGGCTCCAGTGCCTTTCCCTGCACCTAGCAGGGGACAGTCGTGCTGTGGGCTCCCTGGCGGGTAGGGACGTGGGGTGTCCAGGCCCAATTCCGTGTGTGGGTGGAACCTCCCTTCCCCACTCCTCCTCCTCCCAGACCCCCACCTGCAGTGCCGGGCAATTACCACTCAGGCCTGGGGATACTTCTGTCCTAGGTCTCCATTGCAGCATCCACGTTTTGACTTCCCCAGAGAACCTAAGTTTCTCAAGGGCAGGGGCCCTATGTCTCTGTCCCCCTTGGCCCAGCCAGGGGCCCACGAGAAGATGTGGCCCCAGCCCTGAGGCCAGGCTGACCTGTTCACAATGGATGTGTGTCCTCGGTACACCTGCACACACTGCCCGGTCAGCACGTCCCAGCTCCTGATGGTTCGGTCAGCGCTGCATGTGAAGGCAGCTTCGTCCTCCAGCTGGCAGAAGGTAATGTAGCTCTCGTGTCCTGCAGACAAGGGGACAGAGTACCCAGGATGCTGCTGCCAGCTCCTGCACGTCTTCTGGGAAGAATGTTTGAAAAGGGGGAAGAGGGAAGCAGCGGGGGGTGGGGAGTGTTTGAGACGAGTCTGAGACCAATCGGCCCTTTTTTAATGGTGACTTTGGTCTGGGAGACTGTCAGGCACCGTGGGGCACTCACCTGCCCCCAGTCCTGTGCCCCCCACTCCGCCCTCTTCCTGCTTCCTCCCCCTTCTCTGTGGTCTCCTTTTAGTCTTCAAAGTTTTCAACTATTTGTAGTCAACAAACCCAATGTTGCAGAGGCAGGAAGGACACTCACAGGAGCCAAAGGTATGGCCAGGATGGCTGGGCAAGATCCTGGGGCTGCTCCTGACTGACTGCCCACGGGCAAGCAAGACCTTCCTCCCCAGGTCTCTATCCCCTCAACTTGAAATAGGGACAGTGACATTACCCACCTCATGGGGCTGCTGTGCAGACCGAGTTACAGTGGCAGCCGCATAGTAAGTGTCATGCGTTAGCTGTTGTTCTTAGGTTTGGAAATACTGCGGTAGGCAGAACGTCACCCCCAATGATATCAGATCCCAGTCCCTGGAACCTGTCAATATTACCTTACTTGGAAAAGGGTCTTTGCAGATGTGGCTAAATTAAGGATCTTGATTTGAGAAGATGACCCTGGATTATCCAGGTGGGCGCTAAATGCAACCACAGGTGTTCTTATAGGAGAGAGGCAGAGAAGACATGCACAGAAGGAGAGAAGGTACGGGCAGAGACCGGAGCCACGCGGCCACATGCCAAGGAACACCAGCAACCACCAGACACTGGAAGAGGCCGTAGTGGCTTGACCACTATGGGTCTCAGAGCAGTGTGGCTCTGCTGCCATGTTGATTTCAGCCCAGTGACACTGACGTTGGGATTACGGCTTCTAGAACTGAGCAAGGATAAACTTCCCCTGTTCCAAACACCTGGAATGCGGCACGTGGCCACTGGGCTCAGCACATGCACTGGGCAGTGGCCAGACGAGCTTCACAGAGCAGAAGCCTGAGTGCTGAGGGTTGAGGAAGGGTCTGTGTGATGCCACTGGGGGAGAAGAGAGGCTGAGAGAGCAGCCGGCACAAAGCAGGCTGGGGGCCTTGGGGAGCCAACGAGGCCAGAATGTAGGTGCTGGGAAGAAATGGCCGATGAGGCCAGGATACAGTGAGGGTGGAGGTCTAATGGTGCAGGGCCTGCAGGGAGGCCAGGGTCTCCGCAATGCGCACCCGAACCACCCACCAGCTGGTATTCTACCTTCTGGTGCAGTTGTCAGATACTTTGTCACCCTGTCGACCGTGATCAGTGCTTATGCCTTGGGCATTAAGAGGCAGCCCTGGAAGCCCTCAGGATGTCTGGTCATAGCAGGACCTGTCTTCAGATAATGATGTCCCCACCATGGAGAACAACTTTCCACAGCAAGCTAAAGCTGAGTTTGAGAGGAATTCGGGGACTAGACACTCAACAGAACCAAAGGAATGTTACAACTAAGAGCCATTTGGGGGGATGTATTTATTACATTGAGGCTTTTGATAGAGTTTTATAATTTTGTTTAGATGTCTGGTATCAGGCAGGGGGTTAGGGTCTCCTGAGAAGTCTCAAGCTAATTCACATCTTCTGTTGTTCTTCTGGGTCTAAGCTTAGTTACTCTCAGATGAACTCAACTTCCTGGGTTCTAAGAAACAGAATTAAAAAAAAGAAAAGTTTTTCAGTCTTCTTGGAGAGCGTATACCAGACCTCTAAGAAAACAATACACGAATAAGTAAACACTTGAAGAAACTGGAGATTGTTTGTCTTAAAATACATGTCGGCTTAAAAGCTGAGGGCAAAACGCGTTTGGCAAAACACAGTCCAGGTTTCTGCCAACCCAGAAGAGTTTATAAGATATTTTAAGATTGTCAACAAACTTTCCCTGAGACAAGATCTGTCTCACCCTCCCCGCTGCCACCAGGATTGCTGAGCATAGAGGCTAAGGAGGAGCCGGCTGGGCCTCGCCCCACTGACTGGGGACACTCCAGGCCTGGCTGGCAGCCAAGGTGCGCTGTGGGCAACCAGGTGCTGGGCACAGCTGGCCCTGCACAAGCATCACCTCCACAGCTCCATGAGGACCCTGGGTGGCCCAGAGCCGCTGACTCGGAGGAGCCTCATCCCCAAGCCTGGCTGCTCCTGTCCCAACTCAGTGGCAGGAAGGTGAAGTGCCGGAGTCATAAACTAAGCCAAGAAAAGCATTTAGAAGCCAAGTGCAGCTACTGAGCTACGGCATCTCTGCTCAGTGGACTTCAGCCGTCAAACCAGGGATGCTGAAGACCCGAGATGTGCGAGGAAAAGGACACACACACAGACTGCAAATCAATACAAATGTAAGTGCATATAAGCAAAGACTTGAAGGAAGAGATGAAAATAAAAAGGAGTTAAGTTTTTCAATGTAAAATAATCCTCATCTCTGATCCCGGGCCAGGCCGACACCCTCTGCCCTCTGCCCCCCGCAGGCCCAGCACTGAGCCGGCTGAGGCTCCCAGTGGCGATCGGAGCTCTGCTGTGCACAAGGCCTTTCCTTGGTTTCCAAGCTCTCACCCCACGTTGAGAACACACCCGTGTGAGTCATGGTTCAGAGCCCTGCCAGCGGAGGGGCCCCGGGGGGCTCTGCAGAGCACACATCCCCTCGCCAGCACCAGCACGCAGCACGTCCCCGACCCCCATGACCCCCATTCCACAGAACACCAGACAGGCCTCCACTGACCCCAGGCCTGCGGAGTCACCCAAGGGAGGCAAGGGGAGGAATCACGCCCGCCACCCATGGAGCTGATGCCCCCACTCCGACCCTGGGGACAGATGGGGGAGGGAGGGCCCATCACACCTCCAGGGACCACAGGGCCTCAGCCATCAGCTGTTGGAATTGTGCAGAATAAGCAAAAAAGCCAAACTAAAAGGAAATATTTTTGAAGGGATGAAGAATGCAGATAAGATGCAGTTACTACGTTCAAAAGGACATGCTGAGCTCCAGGGTTTCCTGCCAAGGTAGCAGCCCTGCCCGCCTCCCCGCCCGCCTCCCCCCCC